ATTTTAAATATCAAAGACATAATATACCCGAATGACCAATATTTCATCTCTCAACTGCATTCTAAGCTTCTTCAGGCCCGTGAAGTGGAAAAATGTTTGAATGTTGAAATATAGATATCAATGAATCCCGCATATTGGTACAATTGATACATTACGATTTTTTTAAATCTCGTTGGCAGGTGCTGATTTTTTTTCGTCAAGTCGTTTGATTATTGGTTTCGAGTGTTGAAAAGAAATTGAGATATACCCTCGTCATCGGATCTTTGAGACACCCGAAAAATAAGAATCCACTCACCAAAAGGAATAGCCATAGGTTCCAATAAGCAGTTTTTGTGCAAACAAGATTGAAAATGACTCACCCTACTTGCATCCATTACGGTTTTCTTTTACCATTGATTCGTTTTAACAAAACCAACTATCTTTCAGATAAAGTTGTTTGATAAATAATGTTTTGTTGTGATCACATTTAGGTATCCTCTTCCATATAAGTTTATTAAAAGTTATATTTATTCTTTAAACAACTTATATTTTTAAATCAGGGCACAAAATGCCTTTTTTGAGTATGTCACAATTTCTTTGAAAATAGTGAGGAATAGTAATTCCTGTTCAAAAAAAGCTTAGAAATCAATATGCAATCGACATGGCTTTACCAAGCGGCGTTTACATACAGATTTACTAATGATCCAATTGTGCGAGTTCATATGAATGAAATTTATGGTATTGTAATTACCGTTTATATCACTAATAAGAGGTGATGAGTGGATTGTTTATTGTTATGTTAAAAGAAGCTTCTGATACCTTGTATCATTACAAGTTACTAATTAAACTTGTTTATAACAATATTTAAATATGACTTACTTATTGAAAATAAGTGATAAGTGTCTTGAGAAATCATAATCCTTTAAATATATGATTTGGGATGATCCCAGGACTGAAGCAGTCTCAGGAAAATTGCTGATTTTGGAGATAATTTTATTCTATAGACTATTAATAAAATTTATTGATAACAATATTTTAAGGAGGGTTACTTATTGTAATTAAAACGATTCGATTTGTCTAGAATCAGTAATTTTCAAAATGATTGGGACCATTTTGGGATGGTTAACATCCCTAAATTGATTATAAAATTATGGTCTGACTGCAAGACACCGATACCATATGCTAAATTATAGATTTGCGGATGTTCTAAGGGGGTGCAGATATTTTGTACCATAAATTTCATTCATACGAACTCGCACAATTGTGTATCTCTGACACCCTTTGAAATGTAAAATAAAAATGATTTACGTATGTGTTGATTGTAAATCGATTTCTATGCGTGAAAAATGACACAAGAACGCAATAAGTCAGACATGTGTATGAGATCAAATTTAAAAAGACGAGCCATTTATTGTGTGTTCATTTTTATGCGAAATTCTTACGCATAATACGAGTTACGTGCTAATGCATATAGAATTTAAATTTTTAGTCTAATGTGTTGCTATATTAATAAACATAGCATTCAAACGACGCAAACGAACGAAAAATAATAATTGTAAGAATCAAAAATGACATTATCGCGTTTTTTGTTATATAAGATCCTGTAAATTTTAAATAGAAAGTATATGTACTTGTATCAGTTGGAATTGAATGCTTGTTTGATATTTTATTTCGTTAAATTTCTGCTTTTCTAGAGTACTGAAAATGCAAAGTGTTTAATTCGTTTCGCCTGCTGGATAGTGGACTGAGTATATAAATTGTTCAAGTTTCTCAACAGTTGGTCGGTTTTCTGGAATAGGATCCCGACATTTTTCAATAATAAATTAGCACTATTCAGAAAAATGTTTGGTATCGTAGGTCGTACTCCACTATAGATGTCTAATACGAGATTTATCATGACTTTGTTCACCAAATGGTTGTGCTTAATGAGTATATGGCTTTCCATTTAGCACATATCGATATAAGGGAGAAATCCGCAAATTCTTTAGATTTTTTTATATACTCCAAAATCGGCAATACATGTACATGTATAAACATCATCGTTATCGTTTATTAATATATTTCTAGAGTGAAAGCATGATGTACATGTACACATCCCTTCTTGTGAATTGTTATTAGCCCACTGATAAATGTCTCCCCAATTCAATTTCGTTGTGTGCATAAGTTATCACTATCAAGTATTCATTTGTAGCTGGTTTGTAGTTATCGTTATTCCATGATATTTGAAGCCACGAATGACATTATGAATATTCGAAATTTTGGATGCCATCTTGAGTTTATTTTATTAGTGATTATCGTTATGGGAGTGTTTTATTTAAAAAACGATGAGTCATGTGTGTAAGTCGTTATTCACTTCCGCTTCCGTTTGTAAATCGATTTATGCATGAAAAATGACATTACGCCAACAACATGCATTAAACGATGACAGATAACGATAAGAAGAGGCATTTATCATTATCGTTATTATTTTGACTTCCATTTGTGTGCGTAACATCGATTTCTATACATGAAAAATAAAATAGAACTATAAAAAAGAAGCCTTTTATTGTTATCGTTATGATTTCTATTGTTGTGTGTAAATAACGATAATAAAGGCAATTTTTTAATACAGTAAATGCATGTTGTTGGCGTAATACGTACGTCATTTTTCATATGAAATTCTTATCGTTATGCACGTTAACATAAACTGAAGTTCTATGAAGAATTTTATGGGACAAAGATACAATTCTATTTATAATAGTTTGCCCATGTGTATGAGGTGATAGCAAGTACGTAAATGACGACAATTTCGTAAATGTATGTGGCAAGTATGTATGTGCGTAATTGAATGAATTGTAAGATCCTGAAAGCCAATAAGTTATCCTTGGATCAAAAGTCACTGGTCACTTTTTTCGCGAAATAATAGTGAGAAAACTAAAATATACTAGCATATGATATTTAAAAAAAAAACCAATAATTTGCACGAAAAATGTATGTCACTACAACTTTATTGATAGTGCAAAGATTAGTGAAAAAAATCTTGCTTTTGTATTCTAAGTTTGTAGTGTTGAAGTATGTTATACTAAAATTTTTAGCACTGTCTAAAAGTTATAACTAAAATACAAATGCATAGATAAAATGACCACCTGGGCATAATCAGCAAGTCAATAACGCAGAAACTAATGAAAAAACATACGTATATATGTTCTAAGCTTATAGATTCAAAATATATGCGATTTTCAAGTTTTTTAATCACTCTTTAGACAATTACCGTTACGTACGTATCGGTATATCCAAAAAACATATTTCACCAACTTTTGATAATAGATTTTATACATTTTGACATGCACTACATGCTACAGAACGTTTCAAATTTACGTATGTATTTAAACATCAATGCAAGTTTTACGATTGTCTCACAAAAAAGTGTGACTTGTCCACCACATATTTCAATTACATGCAGGTACCTGGATAGAAATCCGGTGAATATGGCACTTTTCCTTTGATCGCCATATGTCAATTTTACGCAATACGTACGCGTACATAAAGTGGGTTGAAAAGATTGCATTAACACTTTTACATTAGAAAATTTATTGATATGCGTGAAATTATCTTTCACTCATTATAATTAATCAATACATCACTAAATAAGAAAAAACATCGCTAAAAAACAACAGATCGAAATATCTACCATGGCTGTATTTATTGATATTATAAACTTTTCTGTTTCAATTCATTTCGAATTCTTTAGTATCTACTACTCTACAAAACGAGATAATTTGCTCTTTGACTTGCGAAATTCAAAAGAAAGAGAACGACGCTATCAAATAATTGAATACCTGAAATTTCATAAATTTAAATTTATTTTAACGTTAATACAGTAACTCGAAAAAAGTATCCAATCACCTCTAACTTTCCATATATCATGTATAACACCCGAACAGAACAACACACTGATTATCTATCGCTGTCTTTTATAGGTGTAACATCTCAATGTCCAGTGACCCGATTCGAATAAATATACTGTATACCATTCGATTCGTCTAGTCAAGTGAATCGAATGGTGTATATTTATTTGAATCGAATCACTGGACGTTGAGATAGTAAGGTAAAATAAGGTAAAAGGGGGTATTGTGGCGAAGTAACGATATCTCGATAGCTAGTGAACTGACTCGCATGAAAATACTATCATTCGATTCGTCATGCCTAGACGAATCGAATGGTGTATTTTCATGCGAGTCAGTTCACTAGCTATCGAGATATTGCAATGGAAGTCATCATATGTCAGATTTTCGCCAATTTAAAGGGCAATATCTCGATACCCTGCGATCGAAATCACATGAAAATACCACCATTTGATTCGCTTAGACATGACGAAGCAAATGTTGGTATTTTCATGTGATACCGATCGCTGGATATCGAGATATTGCATATTTACTTCGCCAAAATACCCCCCCCCCCCACCCTCCCAAAATTAGCAGCACACAAAATGATCATTTTTTTTCTTTTATTACTTATCACATCGTTGTAATTTTTGCTAGACTTATACAGAATCGAGTTGGCTTTTTAGCCATAATAAATATATTAATATTCGTACTCTCTGTAAAAAGTTTTCCTAATCACGATTTTAACACCCCCTTTTACCTTATATACCGTTACACTCGAATAATTTTTGTTGATGTTAAATAAATGAATCGGCTACTTTAGGACGCAATATTTTGACGTCCAATGATCCGATTTGAGCGAAAATACTACCATTCGATTCGTGTAGTCGAGACGAATCAAATGGTATATAGTTTTTTCGCTTAACTCGGATCATTGAACGTCATTTACTAATTTCACCCCCAAGTTATGATTGGACATAGGTAATTTCCACCGCTGATTGGTTGACTGCAAATCGTGATCAACCCGATGCGTAGTGTGAAAATCAGTCTTTAATAACAATAACGATAACCAATAACTGATCATTTCGTGTAACTTTATTACATGTACAACTAAATTTTCTTAACAGAAGTTGTAAACTCACGAATGACTATAAAAAAATGAGTATCACTTTAGAAACTCTTATCTGGTTCCAAGTCGAAGGTCGTGATGTAAATAATGTCGCCACGTTTCCGGGGAGTACCTTTCTTGACCTTCGTAAAGCAATTAAGGCAGAATCAAAGCTGACCTATAATGCTTCGAGCCTCGTTCTCCGCGCGAAGAAGGATGATCCAGATGTTTTCAAAAAAGACTGCCAAAGGAGCTTCTCCAAATTGATAGATATTGGTGTCGATGAGGATAATCCAATCAAAGTGACGCTCCCGGCTCTGCCGAAATTTTGAATAAAGACACGGGTTTTAAAAGTTATCACCAAGAAAATGCCAAGCGCGACAGTTTATCAGTTTCTTTAACTCGTAATGATGTAATTTACAGATCGTCTGACAAGTTGGTGCGAAAATTCATTTCTTTTAAATCCCCAACTTCAATTGTACTACTATCTTTATTAAAAAAAGCAAAATGTTGGATCAACAAAACCTCTTTGTCGAACTTGAACGCCTCTTTCAAAATGAAACTGAAAAACAATTGACTGAAAAGGAGGAGAACGATGTGCTTTCCTATTTCACTGTAAATAAAGAACGACATGCTGCTGCTGCGCTGTCATCCCTTCATATCTTATCAACGGATGACCGTAAACTTGGATCTAATCTCTACATTAGGTTCTCGTAAAAAAATTTAATCAAAGTAAAATAATGTGGCTTGGCTTTTGGGCCATTGTTTCGTTCTCGTCTGCACTGTGTAGAGGTAAAGAACGATCTGTGCCCCCAATGTATCCTTCACTTCGAAAAATGTATATCGTCATTTGACTCAACAACTCTGGACCTTCCAGGGTGAATCATTCACTCCAACATTTGGTGTCGAGGTTGGGGATACTGCAAATATATCAAAGTTTGGGGAGTTGGATGACAAATTTAAAAGTGAGTACACAGTCAACGTCGATATAACGGATTTTGTCTATAACGGACTATTTTTCGGAACCAGCTATAAATAACATTACATAAATTTTGTCTGTTATAGCGGATCTGTCAATTTACCGGACAGCATGGCAGGAACGGAGGGTCCGTTATATCGACGTTGACTGTGTACTTTGCAATAGCTGGTACCGGAAAATCTCGAAACGCTAATGAATTCACCAGACGGGACGGCAATCGCATGTTTGTCAAGAAGATAGGGAGCTGTTGACTAAGATCAATGAAGCTTGGGTATTCCTTGTCAACTATGAGAATGGCACCAGCTTATGATCGGATGAATCCAACCCTTATCTTGCTGTTGATACTTCAACTTCTTAGAGAGAAAATGAAGCTTCATGATATCATCGGAACATACGAGCCACCAGATCCGTTGAATGTTGTGTCATTGATTGCCAAACACCATAACCGAGACTTGAAAAACGTTACGGTTATTACGGCATGCAACAAAGATGATGGTTTAAAGTTGTACAAGACTCTATCAACTATTGTAGACCTTGCATTTTCGTGATACCCGTTTGTACCTCAACAATTGCTGGCCCAGTTGAGGGTATGTTGAAATACTCACATCGGAAACGTATATACCTACCAGTCGCTTCTCTACAACCCCAAACTATCGCTAAGAAGATAGCCGGATCCCGGTCTTTAAAAATGATGGGATTGCTAGTACTCTTGTGGAAGACTGTGGAGGGCATGGAAGAGTTCTAGAAGATCTGAATGATTGCTTGGCCGGTCGTCTTAACCTTAGTGAAAATTATTGTGATGCTATTTTTGGTTCTGTGAGAGACGCCAGGCCCATTGCGTGAGCAATATTGACTCGATTTATATAACCTGTTCCTAAAACCGACAAAACACCGGACGAATTTTCTGGGAGTGGATTGATTCGATTCGAACAAATAAATAAGGATAATCCAAAGGGATATCTCACTGCACCATACGTTTGGCTTTGGATATTTGTAGAATATCTCATGAGCAAGGAGATCCAATACTTCGAGATTGGGAATTCGTTGATTACGGAGAGCAAAGAGCGCTTTTGAATCCGGTGTCGTTATTGCAAGCTAAGTCATGGCAGAGTTTTGGAAATTTGTCGCGTCATTTCGTTGTATAAAGTCAGCTGTGATTGAAGAAGATGAGCTAACAACGATCTCGGAGGTTCACGCGGGAGCGCGTTTGAATGGCATCATCCAATTTAAGAACCACAACAACTTGAGATTGCTAGACACCAAACAGACACAAATCTAAAAATCTCACTGCAAGCAAATAGAATGTTGCTTGCTATAATTCTAACATTATAATGTTAACGCTCCAAGTTCGCCATACGGTGATGCCTTCCTTTCATTAGATCAGCCGGGTACCGAGAGTTCGAACGAAATTCACCAATACAAACTGACGGAAAAACTGATCACTCAAAAGATATACCAACAAGAGCATAAAAAAATCTGCATCGGAAAGTGATTTTTTCGTCCTCTTTACAACTACAGAAAATTGCACTATCGAACTTCCGAAACGGTCTGGAATTGTAGATGGAAAGGTTTTTAGGAACTGTTTTGGACCATTTGCTGGTAGAGCAAACAAGTCCGTTATGGCCAAGTCCAAGCTCCCTATCTGTAATGAAGTCAAGAATATGCATACTGCTTCTCTCGAGCAACTCTGCAGAGTGAATCAAATTAGCAAAGAACGAGCAAAAACAATCATATTAACAAGACCATTTGAAAATATCGCGGACGCGAATGTAAAAACAAAAATACCAATGAATATATTGGAGAATTTTTATTTTCGAAAGGGCCTTAACACGATTTCTCGCATTCTGCCTCGATTCATGTAATTAAATAAGCCAAGTCAATTTATAGCTTTCTTAAATTGGATTATAAAGAGCTTTAATATTTAAAATACCAAAATTTTTATAATAAAGTATTAAAAGATGGATGTGCTATGACTATATATCTATAGTATTGTTTCTACGGGGACTGATTGGCTTCTCTGGATGATGACACCAGAGCGTGAAATAATGATTGTGGGGTAGCTAAAGGATAGGATAATAATAGATTATCATTCATCAATTCTTGCGAAAATTTGTATTTTTTCATATATAGACACTTCGTCTGCGGAGCAATAAGTATGAAGGGTCCTAACGTATACCATGTGACATCGTACAACCTCACATGACATCTGGCCAAAGAGAACAACTAAGAACATATGTCCCAATGCAGTCGCGTGTGAAGTAGCAAAATTAATGCATGACATCGAGCCAAAGTGATTTGATTGGTGTTCCGGAAGAAACGAGTAGTTTTCTCGAACCAAATTTCAAATTTCTTAATATGGAGATGGTTAAAGCCAGGGTCTATTATGCATACATAAAACGGGGTGGTTTAACAATAAGTTAACGTTAATGTTAAATATTTTTTTTTAAAATAATAAGTTACCCATAATTGTAATTAAGTGATATAACTAAAAGATGGAGGATGTTGAAACTATGAAAATTTGAATACCATTCGAACAAAACAAGAAAAATCTGTCAGAAACATTTGTGGTATATAAAGTCTTTTTTATTTAATGACAAATGTGAACTATATAGACTGTATTTCATGCGACTTCCACAATCATGAACAGTACCATATCATTAGAAGACATTGATTATAGTCAAACTAAATTTATATATCATCATAACTCACTCCTGGTCAAAGACGTTCCCTTCTTGTTAACATTGATCAACCATTTGAAGTTCAAATACGGGAATTTGATGAAGAATGGTGACCCTTTGTTTGAAATATTTGGACAAGATATAATGCTAGAAATTATAATAGTGGAAAGAAACTTGTGGAAAACTTTTGCTTGTCATTTCACTAAATACAATCCATCCATCAAGTGCACATAAAGAAGGATTCCAGATGAAAAGCATAAAAAAACTAAGATTCATCCACCAAATCTATGTTGCAAAAATAAAAATATTAAGATTCATTACAGAACAGAAAGTGCTCATTGAATGATATCAAAATAGTCCTAATCATATGCATACTTTTGATAAAAGTGGGAAGTTAAAATGTTCGCAGCTTGTTCAGAATTTAGTTGAGCAAAAGATTATCCATTACCAGCCATTGTCAATGCAATTAAAGAATATGCAACTGAAAGTTAGATAGGAGAATAAAGATCGAAAAGAAAGAGAATAAAGAAATAATAAAGAAATTTGAAGGAGAATTTTATACCAGCATAAAGCTTTCTAAAACTTAAGGTAATATAATTAATAATAACAATAACAAAGATTCCTTCACTTTGTTCTTCTCACAAGTAAGGAATATTCATTAACAATTCAAAATTCAAAATAATTAAAAGTAAAAATACTTATAAATCCAATTTCAATAATTCCAATATAGTGATTTGTTCAGTACAATATGATATAAAACTCAATAATCCAATAACAGTGATTTATTTAGCACAATATGATATAAAGCCCAAAGTTAATAATAGTAATTTGCTTGGTACAATATGATATAAGATTACTTATACACAAAATTTGAAGTGTATAAAGAAAATATGAGAGAAGAAAGTATTTGGAGGAAGATTTTTGTTAAGAGAGAATTTTTATTTTCAGTTACAACATGTCGAGTTAAGGCTCAGACAGCATCTCTATTTATACATTTTTCAAAATTACAAAAAGTGAAATAAATA